ACCACCATTTATTCTCTGATTAAAGAATTTTTCAATACGTGATGAAAATACCTTGTCGTGGTGCTCGAATAAAGATAGAGCAATCTGTTTTTGAATATGCACTTGAACCAGGTTGATTACGTGCAACAATACGAGATTCATATTCATTCACCATTTGTTAATAAATTTTCTATTTTATGAAAACATTCAGTTATAAGTGCTATGATTTCCATACGTGTAAATAATGGATTATATTTAAAACATTGTTCAACTCTATATTCAATAATTGAACTATCATTATCACGAATAGATGATTTTCTTGAAAGTATGCATGATGTATCAGTTAATTCATTTATATCAATAGGTTCTGGTTTTGTTGGAACATCATATGGATGGATATTTAATTGTAACAGATTCACTTGAACGACTATAATAATTAATGGTATAGTTGTTTTCTCTACTAATGTTGGTATAGCTCAACTTCAATGCTTTTCTGTTTGTCTTACAATAATATAACCTTGAATTGATGTTCCATCATCATTATTTGATGATAACCATTGTAATTAACCTGTTGATTTTGTTGCACCAAGAACTTTAAGTTCTCTTGGTGCATTTGGTACATCAAATAGATGTTTTACAATAAATGCTTCAATTATTTCTGCTGGTTCAGATTGACCTAATTTATTTTCTGCTAATATTCTTATTGTATATTTTGATCCTTTTATTAAACGATTAGATTCATAACTAAATGTTCGACTTAAAAGACGCTCACATCGAACATTTTGTGAACGACGCATATCACGATATTCAACAAAATATGAATTTATTGATAAATCACCATCATCTAATAGTACTTCCAATTAAGATTTCTTACTGGTTGAGAAACACATTGAACATGAACATCAAATGATGTTTCAGTTGAATCAGCAAGATTTTTTTAATATTAATTTATAAACTTCACCTTCATTTACACGAATTTTTAATTTAGATAAAGTAACAAATGTATTTGATTGTTAAGTACGTGCTCGATCATTTGCTGGTTCGAAAATTATATATGTTTGAAGATATCCAGTGGCTTCACATGAAATATATTAAACTTACCCAATAGTAATACTGATGTTTTTCTACAAAAAGAATATTTTACATAGAATATACAAGTAATTGAGCCAACAGCATTCACAACTATTAATTCACAAGTACCTGCATTCTTTGCTATAGTTTTATGAATTATCAATTTAATTGTATTACCAATAACATCTAATTGCATATGATTATCTTGTACAATTGAATGATCATTTTTTTTGAACCAAAGATTTTATAATTATTCACTAAGGACTATTATATTTTACTATACTTGCCATTCAATTCAGATGTTGGATCATGTTTAACACGAGCAGCTAAAATAACTGATCGTCCGTTAATGACTATAGTAGGTTCAAGTTCTTGAATAAATCCTGGTTTTTCACCAATACTTGATTCTCGTATCTTAGTTTCTTTTGTAGAATTCTATGGTTCATCAAGATTAGCTAAGTTTTATGCATGAAATACGACATTTATATTTATGTCCTATATGTAATGAATGTATCTTTGTTGTTGTGTCTTCAATTGGTTCAGTTGAATACTTAGAAGAACACGAAAAAGGGTGTGGGTGACGGTGTGCATAGACTAAGAAAAGAATTACACCCACGCAAACACTCCATAACCGCACCCACATCGGCACTCCCACCTACTCCTACACCCATACCCTTGTGATTACAGCATGACTGGCTTTCTTTTAATTTGCATTTATATTCGAACTAGAATTAAGCGTTGGTATTCTATTCATCAATTCGTCGTTCAAGTGAAATATCTATTAATGATCATAACGACTTTTCATTGAGCCTTCTAATCACTAAAAGCGTTAGATTCGTCCATGAAAATTTCATGTAACTCTGACTCTTTAAACAAGAACGTGACAAAAAATGATTAATCGTGAATAACTTCAACTTGTTTTTGGCTACTTACCAAACACTTTTCACTGATTACGTATTATCATGTTTAAACATTATTTTGAAACTGTGACGTCTATCTGCGAGTGTTGGTTTGATAAGATAAAGCAACCCATCTCTTGCCATTTTTTGCATTTTTTAATGGGAGATATACGTGATGCCAAATTCAAGTAGAATATCATTTTTTCTTTTCGTTAAACATGGCTTTATTTAGTTTTATCATGAAAAACAGGTTTTCAGTCTTTTTACAAATAGCCTTTTCTGTAGTGGCACTGTATGGGTTACTGCTACATTAACCGTCAAAGATTTTCTCTTAGCAAGATCAACGATGGTTTAAACCAGCTAGATTCGAACGGTGTAGTCATTAGATCTCCATAAATGATCTTTCTTTTTGTCGTCTTGTATGGGTCGGATCTACTATGAAATCACTGCAGACATTACGTAAACTTTCGTAGCTTGCTGCAACACTCATTACAAAAACGCCAATGCACGTGAAGGTTGATGAAATATATTTTGATAAACCTCTGACTGGTTAGCGAGATTCCCGACATTCAGACATTTAATCTCTTAATAGTCTATTCCTTAGAGCATGAGGTTTTCTGAAAGAAGAGAAATCTAGCATTCTATAATTCATCGAGTTTGAATAGGGATCTGCAAAGTTATTCCGGTCCTGAAACAGACTAGCGAAATTCTCAGTGGCACAATAAGAGCTAGTTGTGCATAATCATAGCTCCGATACATACATGTAAAGAATGCTCATGTTCAGAGTATTAAATAATGCTCGTTTAAAAGAAGAAGGCCGGTGGGCATTTTTCGAATAATCTCTGCTTGAAACGAGATAGAGAGTTGCGGTTTTCACCATTGGAAATGGGACA